ATAGTAAATATAGTAAATTAGATTGGGCTTCTAAAGTAGCAACCTTATATTACATAGCTAATAGGCTTAATACAATTAATGAAGCCCATAAAGATTTTCATTCCAGCAATATAGTTAATCAAAATATGTTTATTTCTTACATTATTGATTTTGGTTTATGCTTCAGAAGTATTGGGTGTAGTATATAAATAGAATTAGTTTCAATTGATTTATTTAAATCAGTAGGTGGCTTTTGAAATTCATTTTTCTAGTGATGAATATCTTCTCGTTTTCATGATGCAAATGCATTATTTTCATTGTTGCTAACTCCAGTTACCTTTTGGTTACTGGGCCCAAGGTTATTCATTCCACTTACATTTTCCATCTCTTTGGGCTTTGATAATTGATGAACATCTTATGTTCATTCCTTTTGATGTCGATTTCATCATACTCATAGTAAGCTGATCTTTGATGATCAACGAATACCTTATGTTTACTCCAATTTTATTAATGCTACCAATATCAACTTTTTGATAATGGCTAAATGCCTTAGATTTATCTTCAACATCAATTTCATTTTTATCTTCTTCAACATTCAAATATCATTCAAAAAGATTATGAACAAAAACCTTAGACTTTTGCTCATCATTCTCGATGCCCATTCCATTTCGGTAACATCGTCCAATTCCAGCAACACTATCCATCTCTGCAAATTCTTGGTGATAAGCGAATTCCGGATACTCATTTGAATCAGGTATATTTTTAAGTTTTATTTCATTCATCTGTTTTATTTTCTTATTCGTTTTGCTAATCATATTTACCTCCTTTTCATTTATTTCATTACCATCAACCTGTTTCACGCCTTTCAATCCATAATCCTTATATTCTATCCAACTCACCATATCAAATAACTTTTGCTGCAACTCAATCCATGCCTTCATACTTTTGCATGCCTGTTTTACCCATGCTATTTCACTTTTCACTACATATAATACAACACATGCAGATTTTGTTTCATCGTCCCATTCTCTAATTTTGGTGTATACTTTATACTCCCAAAGAAGGTTTACTATCGCTATTGCATCACCACCTATATAAAGGGCTTCATCTTTGAATATGTGCAGATAATGTATTCATGTACTTAAAGTGTCCTTTACTTATTCGTTGCAAGGGTACTTTTGTCTACCCAGGTCCTTTATGTCACGGAGTTACCCAAACTACCATGTATTCATGAGTTCTCACATAACTTTCATTCTCGCGATCTCTTTGAGTTATTCTTAGTAAATAAACTGTTATCTGTATGGATACATTATTGGTAGTAGTATCTGGTACAATACTTATGTCATCGTATATTTGCCAAGCAAGTGAAAACTGATAGTAAGGACCCATGAATACATGGTAGTTTGGGTAACTCCATGACAATGGTAATTCGGATAGATTATACAAGTTGATTTTTGAATATTTCAAAACTTTCTAAACCAGGTAATAACACTTATTTTTTAAAAAGTTAGTTAGTGTTCCTATGAACCGAACTGAAACCGAACTTTGGTCAAGTTCAGGTTCAGGTTCAGTTCAATCATGTTCA